GAGCAAACTGATTTATTTAAAATAAATAAATAAATTTATGCAGTAGCCAAATTACTGCTCACAGCTTTAATGCCAGTAGCTCACAAAGTGGAATTTTTGCTCATAAGACTCTACAGCTTAGAGGGGACATTGGCCCCTGATCCTCAGTTTGGAGAACTACTGCATTATAAAGATGCATTTCTAGAATGAGCACAGCTATTTGGTCCAAGGTAAGGTTGTTCTCTGATGCAGCCACCGAAGGGTCTCAAAATGAGCATGGTGCCTGTGTACTGCAGGGGCTTGGCTCACTTCCAGCCAGTGGATACAGGCACCTCCTGGACCTGTATCACTTCGGGTTGCCCACCTCCAGGTGGAGGCTGCAGATCTCCTGGAATTACAGCTGATTTCCAGACTGCATAAATTGCTTATTTATTTATTGTTTATTTTTTGAAAAGTACTCCACGTCTCCTGAAGAAAATGGCTGCTTTGGAAGGTGGGCGGCATGTCATTACATACCCTACGGAGGTACCTCCCCTCCCTAAACCGTGACCTCCCAGGCTCCACCTATCAAATCACCAAGTATTTCCAAGCCTGGAGTTGAGAACCCTGCGGTGCTCCCCATTCCCATGACAGTGGTGTAGAAAGAACATAAGATGAGCCCTGTTAGACCAGACCAGTGGTCCATCTAGTCCAGCATCGTATTTCTCCCTGCAGCCAATCAGTTGCCCTGGAAGGCTAACAAACACGGCACAGGAGCTGTGGAGAAACGCCATCTTATGCCTATGTTTAAGTTGGTGTGGGCCAGATAGGAGGGGACTATCAAACCTGAGGTAGGCCTTGGCCTAGCCTCCTCCTCATCCCCCCCCCTCCTTGTTCCAACCAGCAGTCAGAGGGCAGCTCCCTAGAGAGGACAGGAAGTCCATCAAGGCTGTGAGGAGATCTGCCCCAGAATGCTGCAGGAGGGAGAGGCACTTCCTGGGCGGGGAGGGCTGTTTGATATAGTGGAGCTTTTGGGCGGGAAGCCAGTCTGTGAGAATTGAGGTCAGTCCGCCTGAAGTCTGGAGCCAGTCAGGCTGTCGGCTGGAGACTGCAGGAGGCAGAGGCCATGTTGGGAGTTGGGCTAACCTAACTTCCTCCAGGGAAAGCAAGTCGTGTGCCTGCCCTGCAGACCATCTAGACAGGGTATGTGTAGTGAAGGGAGAGAGGGAGCGATTTATTATCCACCTTTATTTTGATTCTTCCGTTCACTGTCACTATGCCTGTATATCGTTGAGTGGTTTCAAACTAAATCCTTTTACTGTTGACACCGAGAAGTCCCTCCGTCCTGCAAAGTTCCCCCAGCCGCTTGGACACGCTAGGAGTGGGTTGGGGTCACAATGTTCCCTCTAAGCTGTGGAGTCTTGTGAGCAAAAATTCTACCTTGTGAGCTGCTGGCATTAAAGTTGTGAGTGAGCCATTTGGCTGCTCCATAAAATAGTTTGCTCTGGAGCCCTCCTTCCTGAGCTAAGACAAAAAATGTGTGAGCCAGAGGCTAAAAAACTGTGAGCTAGCTCACACTAACTCAGCTTAGAGGGAACACTGGTTGGGGACTCCCTAAGGAGGAGAACAAGGGCAAAACAGCCCTTGTGTGTATGGGGGGGGGGAAGACACTCTGGTTAAAACTCTATGGTAGAAGTTAATTCTGCCATAAAGTTTTGCCCCAAAACCAGAGCGTTACCCCTGACATGCCCATGTCACTTCCGGGTTCCACAGGCACATCATGTTAATTTCCAGCATTCCTCCCTGCTCCTGGTAAGCGTACCCCCATCCCCTGCCCGCTGCTCCAAGGGAACTGGCAACCCTACCGCTAATTGTTTTTAAACTTGTTTAGAAGAACGAAATTCTTCTTTACATAAGTGATTGAAATGTGGAATTTGCTGCCAGAGGATGTGGTGATGGCCACAGGCATAGGCAGCTTTCTCATGGAGGACAGCTCTGTCAGTGGCTACTAGACATGGACAATGCTCCCTCTAAGCTATGGAGTCTTGTGAGCAAAAATTCTACTTTGTGAGTTACTGGCATTGAAGTTGTGAGCTACCGCATAAATTAGTTTGCTCTGGAGCCGTCCTTCCCGAGCGAAGACAAAAATGTGTGAGCTGGAGGCTAAAAAACTGTGAGCTAGCTCACACTAACTCAGCTTGGAGGGAACACTGGACATGGGAGACTCAAGGGAGCCTCCACATTCAGAGGCAGCAAAGCTCTGAATAGCAGTGCCAGGAGGCAAGATCAGGGGAAGGCCTCAGCCTCTGTGCCCTGTTGTTGGCCCTCCAGAATAACTGGTTGGCCACTGTGTGGGACAGGATGCTGGACTAGATGGCCCACTGGTCTGATCCAGCAACTCTTCTTATATGTTGATTTGCATTCAAAAAGCCAATTACAGATGTCTGTATCTGTAATGTTAGCACCACACTCTATGCTTATAAAAATAAACAGCAATCTGGCGGCACCTGAAAGACGATCCAGTTTTTATTCTAGCTTAACTCTTTGTGGTCTGTTGCCCACTGCATCAGATGCATGTAGTGGGTTCTCCCTAGGCAGTCATGGGATGGGAGCGTGTGACAAAGTTGTAAAAAGCAGACTCAAAGGGCCATGAAATGTAGGAAGAGCATATTCTAGACTCTCGGGTCCCACTCCCAGGCATCTCTTCACTCGGGTCATAGAAACAAGCAGCAGTCTTGTGGCACCTTAAAGACTAACATGATTTTATTCCAGCATCAAATCTTGCTTGCCTTGAAGCCGTCACAAGACTCTCATTTAGTTTTGCAGCAACAAACTAACAGGCTACGCCTAGAACAGGGTTTCCTCCAGCACTGGCAACAAGCCCCTTTATTACATCGTTGTTTTTTAATCTGTTTGTAATCCGCAAGAAAAACAAATTGGAAATGAATCAAACCACCAAACAAATACATTTACATTTGTTTTGTGGTCGTGCTCACGGGAGGTCGGGACAATGTTCATAACAGGCGTTAGAATCCACACTGAAGGGATTATATTCCAGCTTTCTCACTAGAAATGAAGGCAAAGGGTTCTCAGTCGAAAGTTCCTTTTTCTAAGTAAGCACACTGGGGAATCCTGCTCCTAAGAACCAAAAGTTTATTTCAGACTTTCCAGATAGAACAAATACCCGTTAGCTTCCTTTGTATTTTGTTAGACCAAGAATGACGATCACAGCATTTATAGTATTGCATTTATTTCCATACCAGGAACATAACCAGAAATACATTCAACGTTCTTGCCGCACGGTAACACAATGTACCCTCCGGTTGGCTGCATATTTGTAAGAAGCAATCATATACTCCAAAAGCCAAATAACTATTTACAACCTCTCTCTCTAGAAAAGCCTTAAAGCTGCTTGAATATGTTCCATTCTGAATACACTTGAAAGGCGTTACTCCCAGGTATTATTATAGGTTTCGAAGTCACCAGTCCACAATCCAGTCGCACCAAACCATTTAACTTTAGGCCCCAATTAATTCAAAGGGGGTCAGTGTCTGAATACTGAAGTCTGATTCAGAGGTTTCTTTTTATCACAGAGCCGTGTCAGCGATTGTCCCTTCAGGACGGTTAGATGTATTTCCTGTCAGTTTCATATCACAGATGCTTTTTGGCAAAAATGGAATCTAATCAGGCCACTGCAACTCTTGGGACTAGGGTATTACCTTATATTTGTGCCAGGTGTGTGGAAAATACTGTGTACTACTTATAGAAATGGGCTCACCAAATGGAGGGATGGGCAATAGATTCAGGACAGACAAAAGGAAAAGCTTCTTTATATGGGTGAGTGATTAAAATGTGGGATTCGCTGCCAGAGGATGTAGTGATGGCCACGGGCACAGATGGCTTTAAAAGGGGATTAAACGGATTCATGGAGGACCAGTCTATCATGGTGACTAAAGGGAGCCTGCCCATTCGGAGG